GGTCTTTTCCAACCTAGAAATCTATGAAGTCCCCACCAGGACCAGCCCCTGGATCGTAGCCCTTGCCTCTGCACTCGCCACCCTCCAGTTTACCGGTACAAACGACATGGCCCCGCTTCTCACCAGTCTTGGTTTATTACGAATACTGAGGGGGACGCGGCCCCGGGACGGCTGGGGACGAGCAGTGGGGTGCGGGGCTGACGGTGGTGGTAGTGCCAGAGGTGCCCAGCTACAGCGTCGCCCTCCATCCCGCAATCCAGCTGCCACGGGCCTGGAGGAAGTGGTGGCAGGAGAACAGCTCCCCAGAATCCAAGAGGGCTGGAAAATAGCCCAGGCGCATCCCCAACCTGCTGTCTGTTCATTGCCTGGAGCCGTCTTTGCCGCGCAGCACGTGGTCCACAGACAGGGACACCACACAGAGCAGCATGGCCTCATCGATCGTTGGCAGCGTGGGATGGATGACAACACTCAGCTGCTGGTGACATCATGGTGAGCCCACTGAGCTCGGCGTGGGGAAGGACACAGCGCCATGCTGCGTCCCTGGCCACAGCAACTCCCGCTCGGGCACATGCTCCTCCTGAAGTGGCCCATGGCCAGATGGGTCAGCAGGGTGGCTCGCTCTCTGCAAAACCCAAAAAGTCTTTCAGGCTTTGGATGGTGACTTTGCTTACAGAACACCATGGTCCACGTTGGCTCTGGGCTAGCAGCAGCCTGGCTGTTCCACCTCCCCGAAAAGCCCAGCAATCGGCTCACGGGGCTTTGCATCGTGCAAAGAATGGGGCTGTGGTGCCAAGGTCAGCCCCACGCTCCCCACTGATCTCAGACATCTGAGCCACCCTCTAAGGTGTCTGTCCCACCTGCAAAACCGTTTTGCCCCCTGCTGCTCACTGAGCCAAGGCATGGGATGGAGTATATATAAGGACCCCAGCTCCTTGGTGTGTAGATAGTGCTAACACAGACATTAAATAGTACCCCTTGTGCACAAACACACACACGCACACACGTTCCCCTCATCCCTGCAAGGCAGGAAAGGAGACGCTCCTCTGTACCCACGGCCGGCACCG